ACCCTGGGATCATAACTTGAGCCGAAGGCAGATGCTTAACCGACTGAGCCACCCAGGTGTCCCATAATTTCACTTTATGGAGAGGGTTGTGAAAATTAAGTCAGATTCAGCCACAAGTTTCCAAATATCTAATACCTACCAGGTTTTCAGTAAAAGTATGGAATTTTATCTGTCCTGATCAGTCTCCTCTGGACACATTCCATTGAAGTTCTTAACTATAATTATCTGAACACCAACAATGTGAAAGGAATATTGCATGCATTTTTTTCTAATTCTCAAAAGTGCACTTTCAGGTGAGTATGAAGATTTCCCCCCTGTTTTCTTCTAGAAGTTTTATAGTTTCAGGTCTTATGTTTAATTCTTTAGTCCATTTTGGGTTGATTTTTGTATATGATGTAAGATAAGGGTTCAATTTCATTCTTTTGCAGGTAGATCGTTTTCCCAATGCCATTTATTGAAGAATTGAAGAGACTATCCTTTCCTCATTGTGTAATCTTGGCACCCCTGTTGAAGATCATTTGAACATATGCATGTGGGTTTGTTTCTGGGCTATGATGTTCCATTGGGCAATATGTCTGTTTTTATGCCACTAGCATACTATTTTGATTACTTCGTAATATGTTTTTAAATCAAGAAATGTGAAGCCAGGGCGCCTGTGTGGCTCAGTTGGTTAAGCGACTGCCTTCGGCTCAGGTCATGAGCCTGGAGTCCCAGGATCGAGTCCCACATCGGGCTCCCTGCTCGGCAGGGAGTCTGCTTCTCCCTCTGACCCTCCTCCCTCTCATGCTCTCTGTCTCTCATTCTCTCTCTCTCAAAAATAAATTAATTAATTAATTAAAAAAAAAAAGAAATGTGAAGCCACCAGCTTTGCTCTTCTTTCTCAAGATTGTTTTGGCTACTTGGGGTCCTTTGGGGTTCCATATGAACTGTAGTATTATATTTTCTGTTTCTGTAAAAAAAGATCATTGGGATTTTGATAAGAATTGCATTGAATCACTTTAGGTATTATGAACATTTTAACAATATTAAGTCTTCCCATCCATAAACATGGGATGTCTTTCATTTATTTGTGTCTTTCTTTAATTTCTTTCAACAGTGTTTTATAGTCCTCAGTGTATAATTCTTTTGCCTCTTTGATTTATTCCTGTTTTATTCTTTTTTAAGCAAAACTAATATATCTCTGTTCATGATGGCGTAATCTTATGTATAGAAAACCCTAAAGATTCCACACAAAAAACTGTTAGAATAAATGAATTTTTTTTTCAGCAAAGTTGCAGGATACAAAATCAACATACAAAAATCAGTGCATTTCTTTTTTTTTTCTTTTTTTTAAGATTTTATTTATTCATTTGACAGAGAGAGACAGTGAGAGAGGGAACACAAGCAGGGGGAGTGGGAGAGGGAGAAGCAGGCTCCCCGCTGAGCAGGGAGCCCGATGCAGGGCTTGATCCCAGGATCCTGGGATCATGACCTGAGCTGAAGGCAGACGCTTAACCAACTGAGCCACCCAGGCGCCCCTAAGATTTTATTTATTTATTTGACATACAGAGAGACAGCGAGAGAGGGAACACAAGCAGGGGGAGTGGGAGAGGGAGAAACAGGCTTCCCGCTGGGCAGGGAGCCCGATGCAGGGCTTGATCCCAGGATCCTGGGATCATGACCTGAGCTGAAGGCAGACGCTTAACGACTGAGCCACCCAGGCGCCCAATCAGTGCATTTCTATACACTGTAGAACAATCTAAAAGAGGTCTTTTTTTTTTAATCCACTCTGACACTCTATTGATTAATGTATTTAGACCATTGACATTTAAAGTGGTTATTGATACAGTTGGATTAATATCTACCATATTCATTACTGTTTTCTACTCATTGCTCTTGATTTTTGTTTCTTTTATCTTCAACTCTCTTTCTGCCTTTTCTGGTTTTAATTGATCATTTTATATAATTTTATTTTCTCTTTTGTTTTAGCATATCAATTATAGTTTTTTTTATTAATTGGCTACTCTAGAGTTTACAATATACATGTCCAATTGATCCAAACCCACTTTTAAACACTGTACTGCTCCATTTAATAGTTTTCCTACTTCCTTCCAACATTTCATCGTTCATATCATTTATTTATAAGCTATAATCACTGAATACATTGTTGTTATTTTTATTTTGATCTGTTATTAGATCAATTAAGAATAAGAAAAACAAAAGCATTATTTTACCTTCATTTATTTCTTCTCTAATGCTCTTCCTTTCTTTATGTAGACCTGAGTTTCTGACCTCTATCTTTTCCCTTTTTTCTGGAGAATTTATTTTAACATTTATATTAGCCTTCAGATTTCCAGGGCGCTACAGATACACTAATACAGGACACGTGAGGCTTTTTTTTTTTTTTTTCCGCATTTAAGTTTGCTTTCAGTATGACAGAAATGCCTTCAGCTTTCAGATAATGGGAAAAAACATCCGAAGCAAATAAAAAAGATAAGATGGGTCAAGTTATTTCTTAGTAAAAACAATACATCACATGAATCAATTTTTAAACTAAATCCTTAAAAGCATTTGAAAAACATTTGTGTCTTCTAATTGTCAATGTACTCATGTAGTGGAAGAAGATATAAGACAAGTAATAGAAATTTTAAAAATCTCAAACTATTCTAATTCCTAAAATAAGTAATTTGCAAATTAAGAAATTATTTGTTGTTAAAAAATAGGCCTTAATCTCAAATTCACTTTAAAAGCTTGACATGTAATTTAAAATCTAAAAATTCTCTAGCTAAATTATTTGTTAATGCTCATAGAGTGTTACTTCTCTGGATAGACAGGATTCAACAACAGTTTTCAACTGATGCTGAAAAAAATCACTTGATAGCTGTTATCATAATTACAGATTAACTTATTAGTGGCTTACCACCTGATTCGGGAATTGATTGTCATAAAGTCCAATGAAGGGAATAATTTGATAATTTCTCATTGTGCAATTCTGCCCATTAGTAAAATTAAGAATTTGATATATATTCCACTTGGTTGCTTTACATGTTTCCATGTGTGTGATTTGACCAACTAAAAAAATGATTTGATCAATAACAACAACAAAAACCACATGTCAAGCTTTTTCCTTTTTCTTGCTTTCTTTCCTTTTCTTTTTTTTTAAGAGTAACTCAATGATTTGGGAGATTGGTTAGTACAAGATAGAGAACGTAGGAGAAAAGCACAAAGTGACACTGAACACCAATGCCAATATTTATCTCATATGGTTAAGACTAAGGATATTAATAATGTTTGTGTTATTCACTATTCTTTAGAACAAAATCAAAGCCATTAACTTGAGCCTGAGGTATACACAACCTTATGCAAAATACTTTTCACAAGTCATGTTACATTTTAAAATAGTAGGAACCAAATACCTGTACTGATTTGTATTTTGACTTAATGGAACAAGAAGAGAACAATATTCAGCTAGGGAAGGTTATATTAATAGTAATAAGTTATTAAAGTAAAAAAAAAAGTCTTCCTTTTCCTTTATACTTGCCACCTGCTACACAATGCCCTGAAAGTATTCATGATGGGAAAACAATGTCAATCATAGCATTTAAACTTTGCTTTGGAAGGAACTAATAAGAAACAAATTAGAAGATGAAGCTTCATTGTTGTTTTTGAATAAGTGGTCTTCATTTTTCTTCTTTATAGAAGTTCAAATCAGCTTATTATAAATATAACTAAACATCAATTTTTGTGGCTTTCAGGTAAAGTCCAACACTTCATTTATACAGTTTATGAGAAGAGGTCCTGATTTTGTAAAGACAGAAAAGAGACTTCAATTCTGTTCTGTTCTATTTTATTTTATTTTATTTTATGCAGACTGTGTATCTATATGTTAAGCACATAGGGTGTGCTATAGTACTTCAAAACTATGCTTCATGATTGGAGTATCTCACAAATGCGGAGACACAGGATGGCATGGAAGGCTGGAACCTGGGGCCCTAACACTGTCTTGGGGCTTCGAAGGAGGAATCTCACACAGCAAACCAAAAAGGAGAAGGACTAAGACATCTTCTTTCAATGTTAATTAAGCACCTGCTAAAGACTAGGCTCAGTGCTAGGGGCTCTGATGTAATGCTTTTTTTTTTAATTAAAAATTTTTTACCTTATTATTATTATTAATTATTATTATTATTTTGGAGGGCGGGGGCAGAGAAAGACGGAGGGAGAGAATCTTAAGCAGGCTCCACACCCAGCCCTGAGATCAGGACCTGAGGGGAAATCAAGAGTCAGTGGCTTAACCGACTGAGCCACCCAAGCACCCCTTGATGTAATGCTTTTCAATCTTCAAAAAGTTACAAACACAGAATCTTGTTCAGATGTGTTGCAGACTGGTGGATTTATTTATTCACCACCTACTTGCCACTTAACCTCTAGGTCTCAGTTTCCTCAACTGCGAGATGGAGCTAAGAAGAGCATTTCCTGCATAATTTTGCCAGAATGAAATGATTCACGTACAGAGGCGAGTTGAGGTAAGGGCCCGAGAAATACCAAGCGCTGCTGTTCGCATCACTGTTTACCTGGCAAGATTCCAGCTGTTGGATGAGAGGGTGATTGAAAAACACAGAGCTCCAGTGCTCGCGGTGCTCTCGGAGATGCACCGAAACCATACACCAAGAGCCCCAGTGGTCTGAGAGACAAGCTCTCTAAACAGAAAAGAACAACACTCCTAGCCTGGCCTTTTCCAAGACCGGTACGGGTCCTCCCAAGAATTCAGTTCCAGGCTTCTGGAGGGCAGCCTGGCTGGCGTGGGGTCTGGGGTCCAGCGAAGGAAGGAGGGAAAAGGGAGGCTCGCTCGGCACTGCAGGAGGCGGGCGGGGCGAACAGCTGGGACAGAGTTCCCACCCCGGGTGCAGTGGGGAGGGCGGCAGGGGCGGGGCGGAGGGGGGCGGCAGGGGCGGGGCGAGTTGGGCGGGGCAGGCGGGCGGTCCTGCGAGCTTAGCGGCAGGGACAGGCAGGGACGTCGCCCGCTCAGAGCTCAGCCGAGGGAGAGGACCGAAGAGCCATGCTTGCGGCGGTGGGCTCCCTGGCGGGCGCCGCCTGGGCAGTGCTCCATCTCCGCGCCCTCCTGCTGGGTGCCGTCGCCTTTCTGTTCTTTGCTGATTTCCTCAAAAGACGGCGCCCAAAGAACTACCCGCCAGGTCCCCTACCCCTGCCCTTCGTGGGCAACTTCTTCCATCTGGACTTTGAGCAGTCGCACCTGACGATTCAGCGGGTAGGAACGGGAGAAGGTGCAGGGCTGTGCCCTGACCCTGACCTGCGGGACAGGGGGCATCCCGGGGATCGAGGGCGGGAGGCTGGGGGGCTGTGCAGCTAACGCAGGTTACTTGGTAAATCCTGCGTTGAGCCTCGGTTTCCTCACTGTCAACTGGCATGATTACACCTGCCCTTTCTAGAAGTGAAATATTATTCACTGTTTACTATTTAAGGGTACCAGACATGTTACATTCTTTAACCCATTTAATTGTGTATCTTGTTAAATGTTATTGGAACATCCTATTGATAATATGATCACTTTGTCCTCTTTAATATTTTTGTCGGGGGGGGGCGGTGGTTTTGTTGGGAAGCTGTACTTACCTTCTCGGCTATATTTCCTGAGTATAAAATGGTAAGAGTACTACCTAAATCCTCGCCACTTGTCAGTAGCTGAGCCCCTCCCTTTCAGTCTCCTCTCCCTGCTATCTGTTCTCACTAAAGTAATTTGTTCTAAAATGTCCCTCTTCTTAAATTTTCTTAGTGCTTCCCCACTGCCTTCCAGAGTTAGGGATCCCCTTGGAACTCTTCTTAACTCAGCCTCTTTCCACCTTTTTATAATCATGTCCCACCAGGGTTTCCCAACTCTGGCCCCTCTGATTTTCTTAAAATTCCCTCCAACATCCAACCCTCTCTTAAAAATCCTCAGCTGGTTTCCTGTCACTCAGCTAGGTACCTCTGCTACCTATCACTACCTAGCTGAGTGACAACACTGTGGTAGGTGTCTGTGAAGGTTAAATAAAACCATCAATGGTCAAACATGGCTTTTAGTAGGTGCACAACAAATACTAGTTCCCCTTTTCCTAGACGTACCTAGAGCACTTTAAACACATACTTCTATAAAGTACAGATGGAGAAGATTTTATCACTTTTTTGGAGAAACCCCCAGTTGGTAACACTAAATGACAGGATTAGTCACAGAATTTTAAAGCTAGGCTCCTAAACCTATACCCTTGTTTAAGAAATATGTTGTTTAGGGGCTCCTGGCTGGCTCCGTCGGGGGAGTGTGCGACTCTTGATGTTGGGGTTGTGAGTTTGAGCCTCAAACTTAAGAGATTACTTAAAAATAAAATCTTTTAAAAAAAGAAATAAATATGTTATTTAATTTCCAAGTATTTGGAAATTTTCCTGCTTTCCTTCTATTAATGATTTCCAGTTTGATGTCGCTGTGGTGAAAGGACATATTCTGTATAATTTCAGGTCTTTGAAATTTGCTAAGGTTTGTTTTATGACCCAGGATACAGTTCCATGCATGCTTGAAAAAATGTATGTGTTCTGCTATTGCTGGGCGGAGTGTTCTATATATATCAATTAGATCTCGTTGGGTGATCCTGCTGTTTAGTTCTTCTATACCCTTCTATACCCTGACCTCTTATCTATTGATTCGGTCAATCACTAGGAGAGGCATGTTGAAGTCTCCAACTATAATTGCAGCTTTGTCTATTTCTCAATTCAGTTCTGGTAGTTTTTCCTTTATGTATTTGCCATCTCTGTTATTTGGAAGATACACATTAAAATTATTATATCATCTTGGTGAATTGACTCTTTTGTTATTATGTAATGTCTCTCCTGATCCCTGGTGATTTTCGTTGCCTGAACTTTAGCTGATGTGATACAGCCATACCAGCTCTTTTTTTGATGATTATCTGCATGGTATATACTTCATCCTTTCACTTTTAACCTATTTGTATCGTTATATTTGAAACGAGATTCTTGCAGACAGCATATAGGTGGATCATTTTTTTTTAATTCTGCCAATCTCTGTCTTTTATTTTTTTTAAGATTTTATTTATTTGAAAGAGAGAGAGAGAGAGAGAACAAGCAAGGGGAGCAGTAGGTGGAGGAAGAGGCACGCTCCCCACTGAGCAAGTCTCAATGCGGGACTCGATCCCAGGACCCCAGGATCATGACCCGAGCTGAAGGCAGATGCTTAACTGACTGAGCCACCCTAGCGTCCCAATCTCTGTCTTTTAATTGGTGGATTTAGATCATTATATTTAATGTAATTATCGATAAGTTAATACTTAAGTCTGCCATTTTATTATTTATTTTCTATTTTTCTCCTCTGTTTTTTATTCCCCTATTTCTCCTTTTCTGTCTTCCTGTGGGTCACTTGAACATTTTTTTAAGAATTCCACTTTAATTTATTTATAGTGTTTTTTAGCATATCTCTGCATTGTGTTTAAGTGTCTGCCTAAGGATTACAAGAGGCACACATAGCTTAATGCAATCTACTAGTATCACCATTTTACCATGTCAAGTACAATATAGATGCTTTACAACCATTAGGTACTTTTATCCTCTCCTCCCTGCTTTACAATTAATTATCTTAAATATTATGTCTACATATATTGAGAACCACATCAGACAATATTATAAACTTGCTTTTAACTGTTAAACACTTTTTTTAATTCAAGAGAATAGTCTATTATATTTATCCACTTACCCTTTATGTTGCTCTTCCTTCATTCCCAAAGTTCCAAATTTTCTACCATTATCACTTCCTTTCTACCTGAGGAACTTTCTTTAGCCCTTCTTCTAGAGCTGGTCTGCTGGCAAAAACTTTTCTTAACTTTCCTTTACCTAAGAATGTCTTTATTTTGCCTTCATTTCTGAAGTATATTTTCACTTAATGTAGAATTCTAGATTGACAGTTTCTTTCATTCAACATTTTAAAATGTTGTACCACTTCTTTCTGGCCTCTGTAGTTTCAAATGAGAGATTTGCTGTGATTTGAATTGTTGTTCCCCATAAGTAGTAAGTTGTTTTTCTCTGCCTGATGTCAAGACTTTTTTGCCTTTTTTTTTTTTTTAAGATTTTATTTAGTTATTTGAGAGAGAGAGAGAATCTGAAGCAGATCCGTGCTGAGTGCAGAGTCTGACCTGGGGCTTGATATCACGACCAAGAAATCATGACCTGGGCTGAAACCAAGAGTCGGACACTTAACTGACTGAGCCACCCAGGTGCCCCAGGTTTTTTTGCTTTTAGTTTTCAAAGATTTGGTTATGGTATGTCTTGGTGTTGATTTCTTTGAGCTTATTGGGTTATTAGATCTGTAGTTTGATCTCTTACCAAATTTGAGAAGTTTTCAGCCATTATTTCTTCAAATATTTTTTCAATTCCACATCCTTTTTCCTCTCTTTCTGGGACTCTTGGATGGCGATGGTTCAAATGTTAGATCTTTTGTTATTCTAATATAGATCCCTGAGGCTCAGTTTTGTTCTTTTCAATCTATTTTCTGTGTGTTGTTCAGATTGGATACAGTCTATTGATCTGTCTTCAGTTTCACTGGTTCCTTTGTCATTCCTATTCTGCTGTTGAGTTGCTCCATTAAGTTTTTTCTTTGGGTTATTGTATTTTTTAAGTTTTAATTTTTCCCTTTGGTTCTTATATATATTTTTATTCCTTTGGTAAGATTTTCTATTTTTTTTAATTTTTTAAAGATTTATTTTATTTATTTGAGAGTGGGGAGAAGCAGAGGGAGAGGAGGGGGGAGAGAGAGAGAGAGAGAGAGAGAATCCCAAGCAGACTCTGCAGTGAGCGTGGAACTTACTGCAGGGCTCAATCTCGTGACTATGAGATCATGACCTGAGCAGAAATCAAGAGTCAGAGGCTTAACCAACTGAGCCACCAAGGTGCCCCCAACTATTTTCAAATGTTTTTGAGAATATTTGTAATTGTTTATTGAAACATATTATACCTGATTTAAAATCTTATTCCTATAATCCCAACATCTGTGTCATCTCAGTATTGGTATCAACTCATTCAAACAGATTTTCTTGGCTCCTGGTAAGGTGAGTAATTCTGGAATATATCCTGGACATTTTGTGTTTTATATGACTTGGGACATGTAAATTCTTCCATTTTGGCAGAGAGTCAACCTGTTTATGGTCAGAAGCTTACTTTTGTGGATAGTGGTTCAAATGTCAGTTTAAGTTATAAAGCCTCTGTAGCACTTCTAGTCTTCCCCACTTATGTGTTGTCCACCCACAGAGGACTCCATCCTACATTCTCGTCAGTGAAGGCTGGGGAGAATGAGAATGGGGACAAAAGACAACTCCCCCCCGCCCTGGGTACGATAGCCTCTTCCTTACTGCAGGGAGGATGGAAGTCAGAGATCTATCCATATCTGCTCCATGGGAAAAAAGCATCTCCTTATTTCTGTAGAAGGGTAGAAATTAGAATTCCCCCTCTTAACCCCTCCAGTTTGGGAGTGATAGTTACAGTTCAGCTCACAGACTGGGCAGGCAAGGGGCATCACCTTGTTGCTACAAAGGTAGGGTAAAGACAAGTTCCCACCCATGTTTTCCACTGATGCAGCCCCCATTAGGGTGGGGGAGAATCACATCTTTTTTCATGGTGTTGCCTCCAGAACGGGGAAGTAGAAAGGTTAAAAAGTTTCTGTCCTATTAGGCCAGGCTTTTTCTGGCACTTTGGCTGGAGAAAACAGGACTTTCTTGGAGTTATTTTTGCCTGTGCTAATTAGGGTCATGATTAGTAGAAGAAGTAAAATGGAAATGCTTTTACTCAATCTTGTCTGGAATCAGAAATTTGATCTGTGCCTGTTTTACCATTAAGATAGAGCTAATTAGAAAGGGTAAATGATTTGCCTGTCATAAAACTGGCTAGTAATGAAACTAGGTAGTAATGAGGCTAGTAATGAGGCTAGGATCTTATCTGTGGCCTGATGTTTTCTCAAGTCAGACTGTCAAATTTTACTCCATATAGGTTTGCATTTTTTAAGTTTTTGGTTGTAAAACAAATGGAGTCAAATGGTTCATCCAGTTATAATGAAATTTACATTCTAGCAATTTGGAAACATTAAGTACCAACTATTTGCTAGGTCTTATATCAGGATTTATATGTTCATTTTCATTTAATCTTCACAAAGGACACAGAAGTTAGGTATTATCTGGTGGTGGTTCCATTTGGCCATTGAGGAAACTGGCTGAAAACAATAAA